TTTGTACTCTCTTACTGATTATTTTCAAAAACTGCTCGGCTGATCGTCTCTCAAATCTGAACAACAAGAGTTCATCAAATGGCTCTTCGATTTTTAATTCGATGTAACCACTTTTCAAAAACATTGAGGAAAAAGACAAATTTGGCTACAAATTTGGTACCCATACCTATTTTCAAATTTTGAATCTAAGTAACCACTTTTAAGAAAACGTTGAGGAAAAAAGACAAATTTTGGCTTCAAATTTGGCACCCATACCTTTTGCAATTTTTAAATCTAAGTAACCACCTTTAAGAAAACGTTGAGGAAAGAAGACAAATTTTGGCTCCAAATTTGGTACCCACACCTTTTTCAATTTTGGTGTCAAGCAATTGAGAATGAATTTGGTTTGTAGTTTTTGAACTAAACCAGCAAATCAGATTTATTAGCAAAAGCATAAACTTCTTCCAGAAGTAAATAATTTTTACTCAAAACTATTTTTGCTCACAAATTTTAACTAAAATGAGTAAGTTAGTTTTAATCAGCTCACGCTTAAATATTTTAATATAAATTTCTATATATGCAGGCAATGAAATAACTTATGTTTCATGATGGATATTTGCTTATAAGAGATTAATAATATTAATAATAATTATTTCTATGGAAATAACAATTTCCTAGTTATATACAAATAAAAACTAGTCATTTACTACGATCTAAAAATAATTACAACTAAAACAATTATTTCCACATACAATAATTAGATGTATTCTCTGATGTCGATTGATGTTCGATTAACGAAATTAATTTCCAAAGTCGTATTTAGGGCAAAAACAATCATTATTTTATTAGTAACTTACAAATTTAGTATTCTGTACAAAATTGATGTTAATTAGACAAATTTATTTTATATAATTCCTAAAATATTCTGATGATGCAATGAACTCATTGATATTATACAACTAGAGGTTAGAGATCATTTGGAGCTATCGAGAATGTAACTAATTCTGGTAATTTTCAACTAATTAGTTATAATTATAAAATTTTACTGAATTCTAATAAATATATATAAATCTATAATTTATTATTTTTATGTTTTCTTTTATTTTTTGCTATGAAAATATCAGTATATCGCGGTTACTTCTCTAAGTAATAATGCAAATAAAATGTGTTTTGTTAAAGAATATCCTGTGAATTATTTATAATTATACGTATTATATTTGACCTGATTTATATATATATATATATATATATATATACATAGATCACGTAAATACAGTATTTATATTGTAAATTTATGTATATTATGCTATTTTTATGGTTCGATACACAAAAATATTATTGTTATTATTGAACAACTTTACGTTCTCTATTATATTTGCCAGTATATTTTTATTAATACTGATAAATTTTATAAATATATCATTTGATAGATAGATAGAAGATATTGAATACTTAAGCATATACAAATCCCTTTTTTTACTTCTGAATTAATAATAGAGTATAAAATTTTTATTACTCTACTTAACCTTTACTCGATAAGCATTTATAGCACTTGGATAAAATAGAGTCTTAAAGATTTTTGTTTTAGATTTTTATTTATTAACAAATTTATTTATAAACTAATCAATTTATTCAGATATAAATCAAAGTTCTAGTTTTATATAAAATAAAAAAAAAACTAGGGATCAAACTTACTAGATAGAGTCATTGATTAAGTTATCTTTAAATAATTTAATCCTGTACTTCCTCAAATATTCTATGAATAACCATGAATATATAGTTTTCTATATTTTATTTTAGTTGCAACATGTATCAAATTATATATTAAATTTAATCAAAACTTTTAAAATATTAAAATGTAGTTCTACACTATTTAATATCTTCACATGTCCTATATATGGTCATGTAAAATATTTTTCTCTATATTTTATACTCTATATTTTATTCTCTATATTTTATTCTCTATATTTTATACTATAATTTTTATTTGGTTTCAGAATGAAAACCAGTATATATTTTAATAGTATTTTAATTTTTTAAATTATAAAATGTGGTTCTAGACTATTTAATATACATTTTCAAATATCCTATATATATACATTAAATTTCTTTCTCTATATTTTGGGTTTGGTTCCAGAATGAAACGCATAGTATATATTTTAATGTTTTAATATTTTCAATTTTAAAATGTGGTTCCACACTATATAATATACTTCTTTTAATACTCTATGAATGGATATGTAGAATTTTTTATTTGGCTTTAATATGTATTGCAGTATATATTTTATTTTTTTAAATTTTAAAATGCAGTTGTACATTATTTAATATATTTGTCCAAGTATTCATTATATGGGCATGTAAAATATTTTTCTCTATATTTTATATTTGGGTTCTGTAGTATTTTAATAATATTTTGAATTTTGTAGTTGGTTGTTAGAATGTGTCTAGTGTAATAAAATTTAAATTTCTATTTCAAACTCTAGCTCTATAAATGCAATATACATACAACATTATATAGTTTATGTAAACATAATAAAATGTGCAATTATGCGTTCTCGAATATTTGTTACTGATAAGTTATCGTATTTACTCGGTTTAGATACCATCATATTTACTATTTATAAATGATTCAAACGCATAGAAATAGTTTAGAAATTCCTTTCGAATATTTTCAGTTTATTATTTTGAATTATTTGTTACTCACAAAAAATGTTTAGTGTGTTATGCGTAATCGTACATACCTGAGAAAATAGTAATCCGATTAATAGAACATTTTTAACAATTTTTAAACATTTGAATGCATTTTTGTCTTTTTGGTAATCTAACAACTATTTACAATTTTTTTTCACATCACTTGCAAGGACTATTATTTGATGAGTTATTAAAAATAAATTAATTATGAATTAAATAAATAAAAAACAATTAAATTTTAGAATTTATTAAAGCTATTAGTTCACATATCGAATGGTGAACGCATACTAAACACTTGGACATCAAGACTTAACGCATTCAAACATCGCGCCGTTAAAAGTTGACCAACATTGCCAGAGACGTACTCAATTTCTTTTTGAATTAAAAAAAAAACGAAATTATAGAATGCAGATATATATTTACCTTTGTGTGTAATATATAAATAAAGCGACTAAAATAAAAAAAATGATAGAAGTTTTCAGTAAGCAAAAAATTACCAATGTGGTACTTCGGAGAGCGGACACTAAAATTAGAGAAAGGATCCTCATAAATCTTTAAATTTGTTACAAATTTTAAATTGACATAATTAGATAATTATCATAATTTCGAGTACTTTTATATATGCAGTTACACATATATTTATCTATGTGTACTTATATTATTTACAATAAAGAATTAACACTTATATAGTTAAAACTTAGTCATTAGCAAAATATTATTCGTTATCATATTCAAGAATCTCGTAGACAGTTTGGGCTTTTGAAATTTAACAATGATCCTGAATAATTGACGAACACTTAATATTTTAACATATAGAGGTAGTAAATTAAAAAGTTACAAGTTTGAAAAATTGACGAAAATTGGTAGAAAATTAGTTTGAAAAATGGTCCATATTGATGTGATCAGCAAAAATAAATAGGGAACTTCAATAAGAAATTAAAGTTGGAGAAAAATACTCCTAAAAGTGGATGAAGATCTTCATTTTTCAATGAAAAGCAAGGATCCATGATATCATAAAAGTTAAGAATGACTTGGTTTACTATAACAAGACCGCATTTGCTTACTAGTTAAAACCGCCACATGTTTTAGAGAACATAAATATTTATCGTTGTTTCAAACATTTACGCACGACCTGCTTAAATATATCTTCGCATTAAATATATCTGTTTTTTGACAGTCATACAAATTTACTACATTTTATATAAATTTATTAGACATTTACTAGTTTGAGTGAATCAGATATCAGGAAGAACGTATTATTAACGTGACCTTTGTTTGCGGATGTTAACATGGCTTTCATTATAAACATAACGAAATCTGTTTTGCATTATCAATGGTTTATGTGTTTGGTGTATTAAATCTCTTAAAATAATCTTGTTATATATTTCATTAGCAGTTAATTATAACGATGGCGATTTGAACAGAGGCGCATTTTGCGCCGTTACAACGGTTAAAATCGTCGCCATTTTGTCACAAAAAATACTCATATCAAAAAATTTATACAATTTGCCAGTTGCACTTTGTTTTAATTGCATAAATTAAAATACTTACTACATCTTCAAATATTTATTTAAAACTATATCTTTTTACAAAATTTGACAAATGTGCATAATTTTATATTGGCTTTCTACATATTTCACATGGCTTTCATTAAAAACATAACGGAATCTATTTTATATTAACAATGTATTAAATGTGCATTAAATCTCGTAGAATGATCTTGTTATATATTTTATTAGCAATTAATTATAACGATAGCGATTTGAACAGAGGCGCAATTTGTGCCGTTACAGCCGTTAAAATCGCCGCCATTTTGACGCAATTCGTTAACGAGAAAAAATTACCCACATCAAGAAATTTATAAAAATTTCCACTTGCACTTAGTTTTTCATTGCCTAAATCCAAACATTTATTCTTTATAATTTAAAATATTTATTTAAAACTATATCTTTTTACAAAATTTGACAAATCTACATAATTTCATATTTGTATGTTGGTAGTTGTCAAGTTATAAAAATTCAATCTTCAGGTGAAACAACTTTAAGTACTCCATATTGCAAAAAGTAAAGCATTCCTAAAGAGTCTGTGAAACATTAAGTAATAATAAATGTATAGTTCTAATATTCAATACATAAATAAATAAATTATTCAATTATAAATATGTCAACATGTTATTTACAAACAAAGTTGTCAACTAATAAAAGTGATAATAGTAGTACTATGTTTTCCAATTAGTTTTACTAGTAAATTAAATTTTTATATTGTGCCACATAGTTTCTACAGGAGGCACAAAATGTCAAAATCTATCAATATATTGATATCACAGTCCGGAATGAAGGTATTTATAGACATATTCATATTTTATAAATCTGTTATAAACCCTGATATCAATAACTATTTTAATTATTCCAAAAATAAATTTTGGCTCATTAGTGATGTGATGCATGTCAAATTTATACCAAATAAAAATATTATCAACTTTTATAATTTTTCATACTCATAGACCATAATATAGGATCACTGTTGTTGATTGTCACTGTCGGTGAACCGTCATATGTGTTTGATGTACTGACCATTGCCCCAAATTCCATTGAAACTCCCTCTAGCAGAAAATACCCAAAGTTAATACCTACAGTTTTCAACATCTATTACAAGACAAATCTATTTCACTTACTTAAATTCCATCTTAAGCCAGTTGTCGTAACAGATTGACATTTATTTCCTACAGGCATCAAGGCGCACCAAGCTCTATCTGCAATTAGTTTTTCTGGAATGTGTATTTCATGATGTCCTGGTTGTAAAAGCCAACTAATTGAAGCGCTTGATAAAATAAATATATTCGTTTTTGGTAAAAGTTTGGTTGCCTTGAAAAGAGTATTGATATTCGACATTATTTGATCCATTCTACCAGAAGTCTCTACAATTGCTACAATAGCATCCATCTAAAATGGAAAAGGATAATTGAATCATATATTTTTACCACACAAGGCAATTTTCACATACCTTGATTGAAAGGGATTCAGCTCGAAGCGTAAGTTCTTTCAATGCTTTTGTGAAGTCTGTTTCATTTTGGTCCGGTGTATCGATTACCTAAAAAGACAATTATTACATTTGCACACAGATATTTTATAAACTATGGTTAAAACTTACTTCACTACCTAAATTCATAAACAGTTCTTTAGTTTGTGGTTGTATTGAATCCATATCACCTGTAATCATTTCAGGTGGTAACGATTTGTAATCATAATTGTTTTGTTTTGCAAAGCTTAGCCACCTATCTGTGCCCCCGTCCACCGTAACTCGAATAACAGCTAGAAATAAACATATGATATTATAACAGACTTAAATTCTAGAACTAATAACTAGAATGAACATATAAGAGAGAGATAGATATAAGAACCAACTTAAATTCTAAGTGTATACCATTTTTCCACAGATTAATGATATCATCTGGTCGAGCCCTGATGGGTCGGTTTAAGACTACAACTCCTACATTTTCTGTGTAATGTCCAGATAGATATTTCATTGGATTCCATTGCAAAGTTGCTACAGAATTCGTGATTTTCTTCATTGAATAACATGTATTAAGTAATTAACTACAAATACCAATTTTTAGGTTATCTTTTGCGATTTTTCATATGGATAATTATCAGTTTCATCTACAGTGATATGATTTGTAAAAACAACTGACATACCTATCACAACGTAATACGCATTACATGATAAAGATAAAAATTTTGGAACAATATATTGACATCATGTTTTTAGACAGACGTTTTATTGAATATTTGTCAAGCATAACATATTTACAATACATGAGACAAGTTATTTTGCATATTCACCAATTATTTTTGGCATGGATTTTGTGCTATTTATGTAAGTCGCAAAATAAAATTGAAAAAAAGTAAATATTTTTTGCAAGAGGCTAATATACTATTAATCACAAGATGATGATTAAGGCAATCTGTTGGATGTAGAAGAAATTTCTAGCTTTTATTCTAACCATTGGCTTCTGTTGCTGTTATTTGATGTAGAGTGCGCAGTATATTTATTTAAAATTCTCAAAATTTGCACAAATGTTATTTTTTGCACAATTTTTTATAAATGTCACTTTGACAAATCACTGTGCACGTGTCTTATGTAAATATTATGCAAGTGGACCTTAAGGTTTTGAAATTTACTAACACACCTTTAATGGTAGGGAACTTTGCCATGCAGAAGGGACCCCTGACATTTAAACGATTTTCGAAACAAATCTATATACCAATTCTCAACTTTCTACCTTATCATTAGGCGGAAATATCATTGATCTTAAAAGTAGACCTTAAAATTTACTAGTATACCTCATGGGTAGGGCACCTTGCCTTGAAGAATGGCCACTGATATCTGAACAATTTTCGAAAAAATAATATATAAACCAAATTAACTCTCTATCTTATCGTTTGGCGGAAATATCATTGAAAATGTGAAAGTGGCTCTTCAATTCAAGCTTACTTTTCGTCGCAACAACTAACTCTAAAAATTAAATCATTGTTTTTTTATTATTATATAGTAATTTTTACACCTGTCCTGAAATGGACAACGAGTGAAACTATAGAAAAAATGACCTTGAAAATTCATTAATATATTTTGGAATAATATATATTAATATATTTGGAACCTTTGAATTTGAAATAGATGAAAAACTAAAACGTTATTTGAATTTTTCCAATATATTTCATTGATGGCCAATTATTGGGTCTGTATTCACCAGTAGACACAATACAATACAATTGGTTCATTGGTTTTTTACAAAACTGGTACTAATATAATTTTTTTTTCTCAAACATCTGGCTGCATAACAAATACATAAATTATTTTCATAAACACAAACACAATGTATTTTACTGTATTTTATTTTAATAAATAGATTTTCTTGTATTACTGATATCATATATTAAAATATAAATACAATATTGAATATCAATACAAGTAATAATAAAACACTTTGGACTAGTTTTGTTGCACTATTAGGATAAACTTCAGGTTGTTTTTCAAACCACCTTGTCACAGTAGCTAAATTTTTATCTCTCCAAGTTTTATTATCTTCCATGGCATCTAAAGCAGTTTTTGCACCTTGCATTAGGGAATCCGAAAATGTAGAATTGTATTTAGCAATAATTTCACGAAGCTGTAATATAAAATGAAATATTAAAAATACATCCAAATGATAAAAAATACCTGGACTTACCAGTTCTTCTTGTTTTTCGTTTGAAATTGCTGCGCCTACAGTTTCGAAAACTTTTTTGAGCGCATTCAAGCTTGTATATCTAGAAAATAATTATCATTTTAGAATGCTGAATTATAAAAATTCACATCTATCAATATCTACTCACTGTTCAATCATTTTTGGCAATTTATTACGCATAAATTCTAATGCAATTGTCACTCCATCACTTCCTTGTCTGATTACAGAATACATAGCACGGAATTTATCTTGATCTCTGATTTTCGAATCAGGTTCTACAGTTTTTTCCAAGTAGCTGTGAGTAGAAATGTGAAAATGAAACAATCGGATTTGGAGTTGTGTATTTTTCACTACTAACCTCCTTAAAATATCAGGATCTTTGCTACAACCCAAAGCATTTAACAAGATTATTGCTTCAGAAGACAAGTGGCTATCAAGATATTTTTTCCACAAGAAGTCCCACTCTGTTTTACCACCATGTTTTAATCCAGTGCAATATACTACATTGTGTAAATTTGGTGGAACTTTCACATATGGAGGTCTCATATAGGCAGTAAGACGATCATGAGACTTGCCAAGACATTCTGGAAGGTCCATTTTACAAGCCCATGTTAGAGCATTTATGCGAGTGAAAACGTCCATGTGCTCATTAGCATCTTGTTGCTCAAATCCCATTTTATTATAAACTTTGTTCACTAAATGCAATACAAATTTCTAAAAATAAAGAAAAAATATAAATACCACCAAAAATCTTTAGGAGGTACTATTTTACTTTTACCTTAAATTTGGGGTAGACTTTTGTTCCACTCAGCATATTATCGAGAAAATTGAGATCTTCTTCAGCTGCTTTCCAAGCCACGTAATCCAATTCGTGGTGCAAGTAATCTAAAATGTCTAAGGCCAATTCATAATCAAGTTTTCCAGTTTTGGCCAAGTTTAGAGAATCGTCTAAAATTTGGGCTCTGTTGAGTACGTGGATTTTTTCAAATTCAGGACTTTTCAAGACATCTGCAAGCTTTTTCCAGTTGTCCTTATCGTAGTTCACGCGATAGTAACCTTGGGAAAAAAATTGGATGATTGAAATAGAATTTGGAAATAACTCTTAACAAAAATTTACTAAACATGGAGCAATTTGAGTTTCCTAATTCTCTCATTCACTTTTGGAATGTTTTTTTTACGTTTGGGTAGTGTATACAGGTGCAATTAATTTACCTGAATTCTGTTTATTTATAATAACCCATCCATCTTTATTTCCTACTTCAATAGTCAAAGGTTTTCCATCTTTATTCATCCAATGAGTTGGTTTTGTATCCGAGGAATTTATGTTTTCCGAGGTCATGAAGTTTATTGGTATCCACCACGCAGATTTGTCTTTTTCTTCGGGTTGAACATTGAAATATCGTTCCTAAAATTTCACGAATACATAATGTTTCATTATGCTGATTCAAAGCTGTAAAAAATTTTTATTGATTGGAAATGCTTATTTTAATAATATAGATTTTATTGCTCTCTGCATAAGGAGGATATAAAATTTGATTAACGTTGGTGGCATATTTCGTATGAACATGAGATTGTAACATTTTGTCCAAGAAAGCAGGAGAAGAAAGTTTATTATTATATTGGAATATAATATTAATTAAAATTAAATTAACTATTTTACTTGTGAGAGTGTCATTGCACCAGTGGCATAATCCCTAGTTACAGTGACTAAAGGAAATCCGGCTTGGGTGCTCCAACTTTTGAAAATTTCTTGTAAGGTAGTCTCTTTAGGAATATCTGTGGTCCCATTATGTTCATTGGCTAACACGTCGAATAGATCTTTGGGAATTGTAGATTTGAAAGAACTAAAATAGAAATAAATATGAATAAATATTTATTTTGTTTAATTTATTTGCAATGAGACTTACTAAGTTTTTAAATATTCATGGAGGCCTTTCATGAATTTCTCGATGTTGAAAGCGTGCATCATCATGTGAATTACAGAACTTGCTGCGGAAATATAAATACAATAATATTAATTTAATACTTGAAAATACATTAATTTTTTAAAAATGATTTATATATAAGATTAAAATTCCTACACCAATTTATTATTTTTCAAGTTCACCTTTCTCGTAAGAAATGGAATCAAAAACCGCCGATATTTCTGAAGGACTTGCGACTGGATGTGACATCGGTCTTGTCGTGTGCAAAGCATCCTTTAACAAAACCCTTTGAGTTACATCCACAATGTAACGATCCAATATTCTCCAGGAAGGTTCTATCTGTAAGGTTAATAGCATATAAAATATATGTACAACAATATTTCTTGAAAGATTTGTCACTTTTCAAACGAAGGATAAAAGGAAATCTTCTAAACCCAGAAAAGATGTGGGAAACATCAAGATTAGATTCTAGATTGATGATTGCTTTGATTTTGGAAAAAATGGCGTTGGATTATAATCTGATCTCGTGTAAATGAGGAACAAGAAGTATTATTGTTCTTGCATAACATTTTTCAAAATATATGTGGTCAACATACAAAATTTGTAAATTGTAACTAAAATGTTTTTGAATTTTTTTTTTCAAATAAACACAATCAAAAGAATATTTGGTAACTCGTTAGGTAACTTATGTTTTTTGTAAATTTTAATAATTAATAATAATCTGGATACTATTACATTTTGGTCATCTGAATATTCTATTCTGAAATTTGCCGTTTTTTACCTGTGATGGAATATAGTGTTGGAAATAATTAGCAAATCCTTCATTCAACCAAGTATGCTCCCACCAGTCGCAAGTCACCAAATTGCCAAACCATTGATGAGTCATTTCATGAGCAACTATACTCAAAATTTCCTCCTTGCTTTTAGTTGTCGATTCATTCTTGTTATATAATAAAAATAATTCTCTGGAAAATATAAGAGTCAGTTAATTTTAATATACAGGATTTATCAATTTTTATTTACCTGTATGTTAACAATCCCCAATTTTCCATAGCTCCAGCAGCAAAATCTGGAATGGCTGCTTGGTCCAACTTCTTCAAAACATATTTTACACCAGTGAGTTGTTCCAAAGCCGTTAAAATTTTTGGGCTCATAGTCAATGCATAGTCAGCTTGATCAATCGAGAAAGGATCAGTATATATTCTGTATTTTACTGGTCCTGAAATTTTTTCTACATATTCGAAATCTGAGATAATAAACGCCACCAGGTATGGAGACATGAGGACTGATTGTTCGAATGTTGTTCTTTTTCGGTTGTTATCTCTGGAAATAATAATCAAATATAAATATTAAATTTATTTCTGCTTTATAAGTTGAGCAAAAATTTTCAAAGTTTTGGTGATAAACTAAACTTTTTCAACTTATTGGAAAATTTGGAATATTAGTTAGGACTTTTCTTGTTCCTCGTTCTTGCACGTTGAAGTTTATTCGAGAATAAGTCTTGGTTTTTAGTGTAATTGATGAGTTTTAGTATAGGGTCTGCCAAATAACTTATTTTTTTGAAAATTCTATGAAAAACTACTGATTTTTTTAATTTGAAATAATAGTTTTGGTTTGTAAGGGAAATGCAAATGGCAGCCTAACTTTTAAATGGTTGCCAAAAAATCAAAATGGATGCTAAAGATTCAAAATGGCTGCAAAAGTTAGATGGCGGACCCTTTATTTAACAATGTATACTTACAAGTTTTCTTCCTTTGCTACACCCATATTGGAAATTGCTTTTCAATTTTTCATGGTGTATAGGCTGATTTCGAAATGGGCCTTCATTGCTGGTTCATCGAAACAAGGGAAAGCACTACGGGCATGAGTTGCCTGAAACTGGGTGTAGCCAACCATCTGAAAAGTTAAAACTTTTTGGTTAATTAAATACAATCATACAATTGCATACAATCAATACAGACAACTTTTACATCAATTTTCACCCATTTCCGTAATTTTGTTATAACCGGTTTGAAGCAAAATACTGTTACTATTAGTCTCTCTAAATTAATTCATGCCAAGTTAATATTTTAATATTTCATACTGATTAGAGTTAAGTCATAGTTCTTTTATCTAATACTTAATATAATTGAAGGTCATGCATTTAACTATCATTTTTAGAGATATTGTAGACATTATAAAAGAGCGCTGATAACATTTTTGTTGGAGCTTTTTATCGATTTTCTGAAGAGCATTTATGATAAAATACTATAAAATTAGAAAGTAAAAATTATGCTCTTGAAGATATAATAGATCAGTGGAAAATTTGTATGAAAATTAATTTTTATCAAGTTCTTGTTTGAGTTCAAATAAAATGTAATTCAATGCATTTATATGTTTGAATAATGGGTCAAATTTTTGGCCATTAGAGCACATCGTAATTTGGTTTTATGGGCCATTTTAAGAAACTTTACTGAAGAAACCATGGTTTAAAAATGAATTCAAAGACAGATAAATTTTTAATTAATCTTTTTCTCAATACATGATAATGGGCCAAATTTTTGTTCGTTAGGGCAAATTGTGATTTTTATTTTTATGGGTCATTTTAAGAAATTTTACTAAAAAATCCATGGCACAAAAGTGATAAATTCTCAATAAAGGTTTTTTTATATATTTAAATATTAACTAACGCGAAAATCAGCTGTGCTTCTCTGGTGGGAACTTCTCTGGTGGCAGCTTGATAGTCAAAACAAATTTTTAAATTTTTGAGAATTTTACTAGGTCGAAATTGATTTCTGAACAATTTTTTTTTTCAAAACCATCTCATATTTATTACCTTGTTTCTCCTTTTGGCGTTTTGTATGAACTTTTGTAGAAGCCAGCCATGTCATCTCTCAAAGTAGATTTGAAGCCTTTTATTTCCAAAAATATTCCTTTCCCTTTTCCAATTTTTCAACAACTAATATATCCGCAATTTGATAGGTATTATCTATGTGCACCATTGCTACTTTAATTTCTCGTCTAGATTTAGTTTTGAGTTTAACATTGTCATTGAAAAAACTAGTCTATATGAGTTCAAACTTATAACAGTCGTAGGTTTTATAACTTCAATTAGGATGGAGACAGATCCGCTAAATTCAAAACTTGGCACTAGTTTTGTTTCCAATTCGACTACATATTTTCTAAAATATAGAATGCAAAATTTCTAAATTTATTTTTCAGATATGCAAATATCTAAATATTTCATCTACAGTCAAAACTAGTAAAACAAAATTTAAAAAGTTTTTGAAAAAAAAATCAAAAATTAAATCCATTATCCAATATAAATTTCCTAATACAATTTTTATATTAACCTTGGCACAATGTCTCCTGGTAATCTGTAATCACTATCATTTGCACTCACACTATAAATATAGTATAAAATAAGGATATTTAAATGAAATAATGTTAATTTGGACATTTTTCCGGCTAAAAAATACTACCAGGTGAGACAATCATGGGTTTGGTTTATATAGAATAGTTTATAAAAATTATTATATCAGTGAAGTGCAAACGTTGATAATGCTGAAATGCACTTGAAATTTTTCTAACCATGGTAATGATAGTTGCTATTGTAAAATGATGTGAATTTATGATGAAGTTAATATTTTAGCAGCTTTGTTAATAAAATTTTGAAATCCCATGGATGAATCAATAAAGGATTTTAAAAAAACATACTGAAATTTGTTTTAAATTTTAAATCAAGACTAAAAATTATGTGATGTTATGAGTAATGGTGTCATATGCATACTATCTAATCATATTTTAAACAAAGTGAATAATAGTTTAGTAATTTAAAGAGAAATATTAGGTGTGTACCTGATCATTCATAACTTCCTTTTTGTGACTGAAATGAGAAAACATTTGCGAAAGTAATGCATTTTAATATAAATTGTTCACCTAATTGTAAAACTATTTTTTTTCAAAATCTAGAGACATTTGCATTTGCATCTCTGATTTATTGTAAATTTTTTGTTGCTCTCAATTAAACCATTCAAAAGCTAATAAATGCTTTATCGACAAAATAGTTCATGTTTATATAAAA